GTTTTCGGTGCTAATCCCACCAATTATGCAAACTGTTATCGAAATGTCTGTATCCTTTATCATGAATTCTTTTCGTAGCGATTCAAAGAAACCAATCAATGCAAACTTTGAGGAGCTGTACGCTGCCGAGTACGGTGTCCCAACTTTGCCTAGAACAAAAAGTTTACAGTATAAATTATTAATGTTGATAGTCGTAACGCTACTTCACGCGCTCAGGTGGGTCCCATAATATGCATAGTAACGTAACTGCACATTCAAACGTACGCTGCCCTGAGGTTCAATAAATTTACTTTTCACCATTACATCTACGTCACACTATATCACACTCACCTGCAAATGATATCACCACAATGTCCCCCCCCTGGCCTCTTTCAACAGCGCCCTCTATATCACACTCACCTGCAAATGACATCACCAAAATGTGTCATGGCGTACCAAGCCACAAGAGGTAACTAGTAACGAATCCAGCATTTTGATTGGTCCATCACTTTCTCGCCTGCAAATGATGACATCACCACAATGCCCCCTATCTGAATAGTGCCCTCTATGTCACTCACCTGCAAATGATATTGCCACAATGCTCCAACTGTCTGAACAGCGCCCTCTATGTCATGCTCACCTGCAAATGACGACATCACCACAATGCTCCAACTGTCTGAACAGCGCCCTCTATGGCACTCACCTACAAATGATGACATCACCACAATGCTCCCCTTGTCTGAACAGCGCCCTCTATGTCACACTCACCTACAAATGATGACATCACCACAATGCTCCCCTTGTCTGAACAGCGCCCTCTATGTCACACTCACCTGCAAATGATGACATCACCACAATACTCCCCCTAGTCTCTCTCAGCATCGGCAATGCATAAGTAGCTAAACTAACAAACGAGCGGAAGTTCACATGATATATTTCGTCTAACCGTTCAAACTGGCCGTCCCAAAGTTCCAGATAGTTTGACGTGATGTGATTCAAAACCAAATAGTCTAAACCGCCAAATCTCTCCCAGGCAAAGTCGATTAATTTTTTGGTGTCCGCCATCTTTCCCATGTCTAGAGATATGTAATGGGCCTCTTCAGCCCCGAGCTGTAACATTTTTGAGTAACCTGGAAATGGTAAATAAAATTACTGTAAAACATGTTGAAAAAGCGACATACTATTTTAGCGAATTGTGGTAAAATGATGTTATAGCGAAATGCTGATTTTATAGCGAATCTCTCTTGTCTTTGTTGATTTCCTGTTTTCACAATACTTGTCTGTCGCGTGCCAAAACAAATGCGCAGTTATCACCTCCATAAAAACAAAGAAAAACTGTCAAGTGTAATAAGAAAGAGCTTCAGATTATTACGTTTTCTGTGTTGTTTACAAAGTGTGTGTGCGGAGAAAAAGACGTTATATGGCCGCCATTTTGAATTTATACTAAAGTCATCCTAAATTAGCGAATTAGTTCTCTCGCTAAATTCCCTAAAAAGACATGCTCCTGAAAAAGACATGATTTACAGTATTTTGCATTACAATAAGAATTTGAGAATGTAGATGAACAAACATGGCATCATTAGTGGTTGTCAGACTAGATTTTTACTAAAAATAGAACAGACGAAATATATCTAATGTAGGAAAACAGCAGATAAAAACAGTTTTAAACCCAAAAGCGTTACTTTGCTGTGATTTTCAGTGATTTGTTGTGAATCACAGGGAAGTTTATTCGCTGAGCAAACCCCTAAAGAAATTATTTTAATGCCAGGTATTAATGCATCTGTCCCTACTTTTGTTTGTGTTTATACTCACTGTTTCATGAATTCAATGACGAAATAGTTAATGATGTGAGTATTTCACGACGAATGGAGTATTTCGCAGACATATTATTTTAATTCACTCGAGACGAGAAAATTTAATTTCCCCAACTGTAGCAAGTCTATATTAGAAACACATCTCCAATAAAAACACATATAAACAAAAAATCGCATGATGGCTGTGCAATGAATCAATAAAATATTACTTATTTTATTTTCTCCAATTTACGTGTACGCATGCTCTACTAAAAGAACAATAATGATAATTGTTTTGCATGTATACTGTATACAATAATGATAATGATAGTTTTCTTTTTTCGGCCTGATTTCAATTTATTGTTTTAGGGATTATTTGTTGATGGACAGCGAAGTGATACATTCCAGAATGGTAGTAAATAGGTTTAAAGTCACAAACCTCTCGTAAAACATTTTCTCTTCTCGCAGTTATTAATATTCTTGCGCCCATTTTTGCGTAATGATAAGCAATCTGTTCACCAATTCCGGTGCTGGCACCAGTCACGATAACACGACGGCCACGCAATGTTTCTGAAGAAAAAAATAGATATTAATTATTAATAATATTTGGAGAAAATAAGTGACCAGTGTACGAACTGAGGGTAGACTCCAAATTTTGTTTTTCCAATTGAACTATGAGTACTCAACACATGGATAGGAGCATATGAACTAAAAATGGCATTATTGTATACTGAATCATTAAAATATGACTTATTTTGACCATAGACACACCTCTGTCATTTACGTAAGTACATGCACTACTAATAGAGCAAATACAGTATTGTATACTGAATCATTAAAATATGACTTATTTTGACCATAGACACACCTCTGTCATTTACGTAAGTACATGCACTACTAATAGAGCAAATACAGTATTGTATACTGAATCATTAAAATATTACTTATTTTAACCATAGACACACCTCTGTCATTTACGTAAGTACATGCACTACTAATAGAGTAAATACAGTATTGTATACTGAATCATTAAAATATGACTTATTTTGACCATAGACACACCTCTGTCATTTACCATTACAAATTCTGGGGGTGAAAACTGAAAAACTAAGAAAATATTGTTTTCCATCACTCAGTTTTGTGTTATTTCTTTTTTTGCATTTTTTTTTATTTCCTCTGTGTCCATTAAGTATTTTCTCTACGACATAGGCATGCAGAATTTCTTCTGTTAGTGATCTCTGCAGAATTTTCTTACCATGATTTTTTTCCTGCGCATTTTTTTTTCTCCAATTCTGCCCCCCAGAGTTTCTAATGGTTCACTCCTAACAAAAATGAAACCTGTTTTCTCAGGACAGAATAAAAGTGCATTCCAGCAACATAAGAACGCCTTCTATCGACTATTCTTTCACAAACTTACAAATCCTTAAAACAAACAATATTAACCTATTGACTGCCAAACATTTTTCTCGCTCAAAATTCAGTACAAATATTTACACACTTTTGTAAACTTGAAATAGTCATCATTATTTTGGATCATAAAATTATAAAGATATTGCTTTTAGTTTTTGACCAAAAAAGTTTATCAATTTTTATCAATGGATTAATGGTGTTGCAGAATGCTCGGACTTCTGGGTTAAGAGTTCGTGTACTGTAGAATACTTTATTTTTGCTTGGAATTAATTTTCGCTGTTTTCGCTGAAGGAATGATTCAGTGAAAATAAAATCCAGCAAATATACCCTTTTTCCTATATTTTACATTCAACTCGTCAAAAATCAGTGAAAATAAATTCCATACAAAACCCAAACACCCAAAATGTCTTTTCAGCAAAAATTAATTCCAGCTAAAATAAAGTATTTTAAAGGCAACATGTGATAAAAATATCTCGGCATGGAAAGCTGTATTTTCGAAGATCACGAGAGCAAACTTTTTGGGCATCAAGATAATTGTCTTGAAATTAGATGTATCGGCGATGTTTTTGCTCACTACCACGGAGTTTGAGGGTCACAATTCGGCCACAGACTTGCGGGTTAAAGGCCCAATTCACTTGCCCCGGGCAAGTGTGAATTGGAGGTGGGGCTATGTTAATAAGTGTTGTTAATCACTTGCATAGCCTATGACGCATCCTGTTTCAGCCGTCAAACATCAAGTGACTTTGATTGACAGCAGTTAATTATTCAAGATTGATAGCGCGTCCCTTTCCCCGGTTCCTGTTTTTGGCTTTATAGGCCAAAATCTCAACACGTACACTATTTATTGTCATATATAC